GAATCAAAGCCCAGCTCTCCTTATGCCAACAGATACCTATAAATATATTTTATTGTATTACCTGTACTTGACACATATTTATTTCTGAAATAATTAGGGCCACTTAGAGGATAACCTTCTTAAATTAAATGCAATATTTATTTAAAGTTTATTAGGACATAAAACTATAAATCATTTTATGTGAGCATTTAATCTGCTTAAGCAACTTATAACTATTTCTGACATTGATAATTCCTTGCCTGTGCTAAATTATCACTTGTAAGTAACTAAGCAGGTATGAAAATCCAAATCTAGGAGCTTTACAGAATAAGTGGATATGGTATAATAGACAAAAACAAAAGGATTCTTGTCCCAGTTCTGCCACTGATTTGTTGTGTGATCTTGCACAAGTTGTTTAAGAGCATCAGTTCTTCTAAGAGCATCAGTTTTACTATCTATAAAATGGGAGTAATACTGATACTGATATCTTACATTAGGCAAAGTAAGCAGTATGGAAAGATACATGAAAAGGAGTACTATATGGTTACACTTACTGACACTGTTCTGAGATCACATATGTGAGAGTCCAAACATGGGAGGTACATCATCACTCTTTTCAGAGAGCTCCATATTATTAAAAGGGGCATACAGATAAATTAATAGTTACAATTCGGTAGAATGAGCAAAGCAGTGAAATCATGTGTAAACTAAACAGCACATGTCAAGGAAGGATTTCCTTATCAATGAGGGGTATGACCCTGGAAGATTTTTTCAGGTGGAGGTGATGTTTGAATTGGGGAAATGTTTATGGTCCTGGTGAGCAGGGAGGGAAGAACAGAAAGGACGTTCCACATTTAGGGGCAATGTGCAAAAAGCATGAAAGAAAGAGTATGTTATCTGGGAATATAGAACTACAAGTATTCATGGGTCCCAGGGCTCAGGGAAGGGATGAGGCTGGCAGGAGTGGTCACGGAGAGTAACATATGCAAATAAAGTGACTCACCCTACAGGAGAGAGGGAGGTAGTGAGAGTATTTAGGCAGGACAGGATCACACTTGCACTTATGGAATTCCATTTGGTGGCAGTTTACTAAATGGATTGGACACAGCAAGCCTGGAGGCAGTGAGCCCTCTACAATAGACCAGGGAAAGATGAATTCCTGAACTAAGTAGTGGCAATGGTAGCAAAAATCCTGAGAAACATTTAGTGGGAAATGAATGTTTTTGGTATCTGACTAGGTACAGAGGTTGCTCATGTCACCAACCCTATGATGAAAGACCTGTGGGGCCCTAGTGGAAGGAAGAGGGCAGGTTGCCTTTGCATTTGGAAGCTCCAGGAAGAAACAAGGGCTAGAGTTATAGTTTGGGGACACAAAAGTAGATGGCAGTGAAAACCATGAGGTTGCAAATAGAGAGTGGTTAGACTGAGAAAAGCAGTAGAGAAAGGACAGATAACTTCAGAATCCTCTGGAAAAGCAAAACTTAAAAATAAGTAGAAGAAATACAACTTGTGAAGGAAGCAGAGAGAGAACCCTCAGGTAGGTATCAGGACATCTAGGAAAGAGAGTCTTGTCATGGAGAGTAAAAGAGTAGGGAGTTTCAAGGACGGAGTGTCAATACTATCAGATACCTTATTGAATGATCAAAGAAGACAAGGATTAGGGACAGTCCACTGGATTTGATAATTCTAGAAGTCATCTGGTTTTCTTTCTCATGCAGTCAGTTAAGCAGAAGCAATGCCTACTGTTGGTTGGACAGTAAATAGGAAATTAGAAGTGAAAACATTGAGTGTAAACTTAACTGTCAGGAAGCTCAGGTGTAAGGAGAAGGTATGAGAGCAAAGTAGACTGGGATGAAAGAAGAAGAGTTTTCTTTGCACAAGAGTGGGAGGGGCTTAGATACGTTTATTTCCTAAAGGGTAAGGACCATTATACACTAAATTGGAAAGAGAGAGAAGAGGGACGAGATGTTTGATGTAGCTGGGTTCTTCATGAGCGGAAATGGGGATTAGGATGGGGGTGGGGGGGTGGGGGGGGTGGGCAGGGCAGGACTTGACCTTGAACAGAAGGACTTATTTCTGTGACAAGAAAGGCAGGGTAAAGGATAAATGTAGGTTGGAGTGAATTAGCCGGTGGAGGTACCGAGAGAGAGGAAGCCATGCCTGACAAAGATGAAGTCATGGTAGACTGATGAGGATGAAATGGGTAGTGTACTTGAGAATAACAGAGAGGAATAAGACATGGGACTGGCCAAAACAAAAAATAAAAGGCTCAATTAATTGCACTTGGTCTAATGTCACTAATCTCTGAGGTGGAAGGAGTTCTTCCCGAAGAGCTCAGCAACTCAGCCCTGATTTAGGAAGAAGATTATACACTTAATCCAAGGTTGGAGTTTGACACGGTAAATGCTGTGAAGGGAAGGAAGGGTTGAGAGCAATTTAGTTTATAGCAGGTTGATTTGCTTTTAGGTTAAACAATAGGGATTTTGTTTATGGACATGAGGTTGGCATTCGTTTCTTTTTTTTTCTTGAGACTGAGCATGTTCTAAGAAAAGGCATGGCATTTAAATCTCTACAATCAGGTTATAGGAATGCCTGTAGCTCTGATATCTTAATCCCATACTTGAAACTTGTCCAGTTTGACCATTGGCTTTCTTTGGGAAATTATACGTTGCTGATTAGCTATAGGAAGATTCTGGAAGACGAGATGAGCAGAAATTTAATTCCTATGTTACTCACATTCAGAATGACTCTGTCTCATGTTGAATCCACTTTGCATTGTCCTATGGATTCATTAAAGAATCCGCAAGCAGAGTTTTTACCTTCATGATCACATACTCCAGGCTGAAAAGCATTTCTGTCACTGTTTCCCAGAGTTCACTAATTGTTTAAAGGCTCTTCTGGCTGGCGGTTCTTTCTGGTTGAAACAGCCTGCTTACAGTCAAGTGAACTTGGGCATTCTGCCAGGGACATTCATACCAAGGACGTTTAGAGGCAATTCTTAAATGTAATTTACAGGGCTAGGAGGTACCAGAACTTCAACAATAGGCAAAAGCAGTGCTCTTGGAACAATGGGAGAAAGGGTCAAAGTGCTATTTTGACCCTGGCCTTTGCAGTTTTTGTCCCAGTAACTCCCAAGTTTTGAAAACAGGAAGTAGAGGCACACCCAGGAACTTGTGGCAATGAAAATAGGCCGGTAAAATTATAAAAGCCTTGGTGGATCTTATAAGGAGGAACCGTTGTGGGAAGAGTACTAGACTGGGAGTCAGGAAATCACATTAAAGATCTGGGCCTCAGTATCTCCATCCTAAACAACAGGAACATGGGACCACTGGCGGACCTGAGGAGGCAGAATGGTTATAAGCTAAATCCTGACTCCTCTTATATGCTTTATATTTCATGGGTTCCCACGGAGATTTTATTTAATGAGTAGATGCTGGTGCCAAAATAAGTTTGAAGCCTTCTTGTTAGAAAATGTTTCCCCAGATTCCCCTTTCTATTCTAAAATTCTAATATTCTAAGTGAGAATAACCAGTATAGTTACACTTAATTCTCATGAGTCTAATAGTTTTAATTATTGTTATTCAGCACATTTTTATTACTTTCCATGATATTTGATTTTGAAAACTGCCTTATGTCAACCCCATGTTTCAGGATTTCTTACCTTGAGCCTATGGATGGATTTTGGGGAGTCTGTGAAAGCCCTAAATATATATGCAATATTTTGTGGGTACAGGCATACAGAAAGAGAATCCAAAACTTTCATCAGAATCTCAACAGCTAAGGGCAAAGTCTTCCCCCACTGGATAGGAGTCAAAAGAATCCAGATCTGAAGGTAACACAAAGTGAGAGAAATTCAGAGAGATTTCATAGGCTCTACCATGAAAAGTACTTACCAAACCCCTCCCAAACCTATATTCCCCTCCCAAGATTACATTGCCACTCTGTGTTCATCGTATTTCGGGCAAGGGAGAGGTCTTTGGTGAAGGTGAGACATGCCTCCTTATTCTTACATTTTGTGATATTTGAAAGAAGCCAAGATCAAATCTTTGGCTCCCTGTGCCAATCCTCCACAACTCAGACATGTTTTTACTAGGTAGAAAGAACCACATATTCTTCACCTTTTCAATCTGTAGCCTTGTTAACCCTGGAGCTCTAGATGGTTCATGGCCCTGAAGGTAAGGGTTTTGTTTTTTTTGTTTTTGTTTTGTTTCTAAAGAAGTATTCTATCGTAATTAAGAAGAATGAGAGTAAAGACAACATAAATGTTTGGCCATTCCATAATATCTTTCCTTGAAAGCCTCAGACAGTGACTAGGGAAGATTTCAGTTTTTCTGAGTGCATTTTCAATTCTATTTTGCATTGAGTATTTGTGTGATTATTAACTTTATATTCCAAAAATAGATAAACAACAAGGATTTACTGTATAGCACAGGGACTACACTCAGTATCTTGTAATAAACTATAATGGGATAGAATTGAAAAGAAAAGAAGATATATACATATATATGTATAAACGAATCACTTTGCTGTACACCTGAAACTAACAATATTGTAAATCAACTATACTTCAATTAAAAAAAGCTATATTCCATAGCAGGCATTTCCATGGTCTTTTAAGTCCTGGTTCAGAGGGGAATAACCCAGTGGGGAGAACAGAGCTCTGATCTGAGGCAGCAAGCAGGAAATTGGGCAATGATGAGGCTGTGATGCAACATCAGGTGTCAGTGTCAGCAAGGAGCCTCTAGACTCGCTGAACCAAGCAAGGGATTGTACCTACACCCTGATTCCCACAGCAGGGCAAAGCAGGATCCTGGGGATATGTACCATGCATGATCCACTTGCATGGGAAAAACAAAGCTTCTCTCATAAACTGTATGCTAACTCAGACACTGTGCAAGAAGTGGAAGGACAATAGGGGCTTGAAAAACAAAACAGAAAACAATAACGCTAGAGCTGGAAGCTGATTTGAGATACTGCAAGAATTCTCAGAATTTAACTCTTTTGCTCTCTTTTCATTCCAGATGCTGCACAACAAGCATGTCATGGTCCGTGTGGGAGGAGGTTGGGAAACTTTTGCAGGGTATTTGTTGAAACACGACCCCTGCCGGATGCTGCAGATCTCCCGTGTGGATGGCAAGACATCCCCCATCCAGAGCAAATCTCCAACCCTCAAGGACATGAATCCAGATAATTACCTGGTGGTCTCTGCCAATTATAAGGGAAAGAAGGAAATTAAATGAAACTAGTTGGTCACTACAAGGGGACTCTCATAATGGCCTGTATCCACATCTCCAGTAGTCAGTTTAGTTCACATGCTCTGAAAATTACTTTGGAAAAAGACATAACAGATAGAAAGACGTCATCATGTTGAAACATGCTCAAAGAGTAGCACTATTTATTTTGAATGCTTCTGTAGAAAATGACCTATTAAAAGAAATTATCAACTCAGATTTAAATTAGACAAATTGTAGGCAAATCATTGTTTCTCAATATGTGAACATGGTATTTAGAACACAATACTAGCAATACAATTCTAGCTAAAGATAAAAATTATTAGAAGAAAATAGGATTTACAGTTAAGTCAACAGAAAGTGCCTGCCTAATGTGTACAGAATAACAACACCCCAGACATTTTTTATAATTGCAGGATTTTTAAGCTGATTTTTTAAAAATGACAATTAGTGTGATGATGTGCTACTAAAAATATCCAACAGCACTATAAATTAAAGTACAGTGTATCTACGACAGTAATACATTACTGGAAAGGCCACTTCAGAAAAGTTTACATTCACTTGGAAGAATGCCTTAAAGTTTATCCCTTATCTCTGAACAAACACCTGGGGCACTTTTGGAAGTTTTCACTGCACCCCTTAGAGAATGGCTTATGAGTTGTTTACACATTCCTAGCCACGTGGCTGTGTTGAGACTGAGTGTAATTCACACACATAAGCTGACATACGTTTATATTTTGAAAGAGTAAATTGTACAGTCAAATGTCCATTGACTTCATGTTATTTCAAAGCATTTTCTTATTATATCTTTAGTTAATCCAACTTTGCTGTGCTGTCTAGTAAAGTAATTTCACTGTAGCTAATAATGTTACAGACTTATGTATACCCTTGTATACCTAGGACAGGGCTGTTTTGTACCCATAAACAGCAAAATATTGTCCTCACTGATTGAAGAATTAAAAAGATGTTAAAAAATTTTACCTGTCTCTATATCAATGCTTCATTCTGAAATAAATATCATATTCAAATGGAAACGTCCCCTGGGAGTTAAAGGAAGAGTCAAATTATGGTTACCTAGCACTTCTTCACTTTGGATAGCTGAGTGGTGCTGGTGTTTGCTTTCCTTAGCAGAGAGTCTAGGTTTTATCATAAACAGTACTTTAAGGGCTGCCTTGAAATAAAAAGTATAGGCGAAATTAATTTGTCATTTCCTCATTTTTCAACAAAGACAAAATCCACCTTTCTTGCTCCACAAAGTCAGGGAGGAAGTATTTCAGTTTGTCACATGAATGATTTAATCAAAGCAGACACAACCTTTTTTTTTTGCTTTTGGTATTTATTGAATTTTATTTATTTTTTTTATACAGCAGGTTCTTATTAGTCATCAATTTTATACACCTCAGTGTATACATGTCAATCCCAACCTCCCAATTCATCACACCCCCACCACCACCACCATCCCCCGCCGCTTTCCCCCCTTGGTGTCCATACGTTTGTTTTCTACATCCGTGTCTCAGTTTCTGCCCTGCAAACCGGTTCATCTGTACCATTTTTCTAGGTTCCACATATATGTGTTAATATACGATATTTGTTTTGATGACTTCCTGCACTCTGTATGACAGTCTCTAGGTCCATCCACGTCTCTACAAATGACCCAATATCTTTCCTTTCTATGGCTGAGTAATGTTCCATTGTATATATGCACCACATCTTCTTTATCCATTCGTCTGTCGATGGGCACTTAGGTTGCCTCCATGGCCTAGCTATTGTAAACAGCCCTGCAATGAACATTGGAGTGCATGTGTCTTTCTGAATTATGGTTTTCTCAGGGTATATGCCCAGTAGTGGGATTGCTGGATCATATGGTAATTCTATTTTTAGTTTTTTAAGGAACCTCCATACTGTTCTCCATAGTGGCTGTATCAATTTACATTCCCACCAACAGTGCAGGAGGGTTCCCTTTTCTCCACACCCTCTCCAGCATTTGTTGTTTGTAGATTTTCTGATGATGCCCATTCTAACTGGTGTGAGGTGATACCTCATTGTAGTTTTGATTTGCATTTCTCTAATAATTAGTGATGTTGAGCTGATTTTCATGTGTCTCTTGGTCATCTGTATGTCTTCTTTGGAGAAATGTCTGTTCAGGTCTTCTGCCCATTTTTTGATTAGGTTGTTTGTTTTTTTAATATTGAGCTGCATCAGCTGTTTATACATTTAGGAGATTAATCCTTTGTCCGTTGATTTGTTTGCAAATAATTTCTCCCATTCTGTTGGTTGTCTTTTCGTCTTGTTTATAGTTTCCTTTGCTGTGCAAAAGCTTTTAAGTTTCATTAGGTCCCATTTGTTTATTTTTGTTTTTATTTCCATTACCCTAGGAGGTGGGTCAAAAAAGATCTTGCTGTGATTTATGTCAAGGAGTGTTCTTCCTATGTTTTCCTCTAAGAGTTTAATAGTATCCAGTCTTACATTTAGGTGTTTAATCCATTTTGAGTTTATTTTTGTGTATGGTGTTAAGGAGTGTTCAAATTTCATTCTTTTACATGTAGCTGTCCAGTTTTCCATCACCACTTATTGAAGAGACTGTCTTTTCTCCATTGTATGTCCTTGCCTCCTTTGTCATAGATTAGTTGACCAAAGGTGCATAGGTTTATCTCTGGGCTTTCTATCCTGTTCCATTGACCTATATTTCTGTTTTTATGCTGCTACCATATTGTCATGATGACTTATCTTTGTAGTATAGTCTAAAGTCAGGGAGTCTGATTCTTCCAGCTCTGTTTTTTACCCTCAAGGTTGCTTTGGCTCTTCAGAGTCTTTTGTGTCTCCATAGAAATTTTAAGATTCTTTGTTCTAGTTCTGTGAAAAATACCATTGGTAGTTTGATAGGGATTACATTGAATCTGTAGATTGCTTTGGGTAGTATAGTCATTTTCACAATATTGATTCTTCCAATCCAAGAACATGGTATATCTCTCCATCTGTTTGTATCATCTTTGATTTCTTTCATCAATATCTTATAGTTTTCTGAGTACAGGTCTTTTACCTCCTTAGGTAGGTTTATTCCTAGGTATTTTATTCTTTTTGTTGCAATGGTGAATGGGATTGTTTCCTTAATTTCTCTTTCTGATTGTTTGATGTTAGTGTATAGGAATGCAAGAAATTTCTGTGCATTAATTTTGTATCCTGCTACTTTACCAAATTCATTGATTAGCTCTAGTAGTTTCCTGGTGTCATCTTTAGGATTCTCCTTGTATAGTATCATGTCACCTGCAAACAGTGACAGTTTTACTTCTTCTTTTCCAATTTGTATTCCTTTTATTTCTTTTTCTTCTTTGATTGCCATGACTAGGACTTCCAAAACTATGTTGAAAAATAGTGGCGAGAGTGGACATCCTGTGTTGTTCCTTATCTTAAAGGAAATGCCTTCATTTTTTCACCATTGAGAATGATGTTTGCTGTGGGTTTGTCATATATGGCTTTTAGTATGTTGAGGTAGGTTCTCTCTATGCCCACTTTCTGGAGAGTTTTTATCATAAGTGGGTGTTGAATTTTGTCAAAAGCATTTTCTGCATCTATCGAGATGATCGTACGGTTTTTATTCTTCAATTTGTTAATATGGTGTATCACATTGATTGATTTGCATATATTGAAGAATCCTTGCATCCCTGGAATAAATCCCACTTGATCATGGTGTATGATCCATTTAATGTGTTGTTAGATTCTGTTTGCTAGTATTTTGTTGAGGATTTTTGCATCTTTGTTCATCAGTGATATTGGTCTGTAATTTTCTTTCTTTTTTGTAGTATCTTTGTCTGGTTTTGGTATCAGGGTGATGGTGGCCTCATAGAATGGTATGGGAGTGTTCTTTCCTCTGCAATTTTTTAGAAGCATTTGAGAAGGATGTGTGTTAGCTCTTTTCTAAATGTTTGATAGAATTCACCTGTGAAGCCATCTGGTCCTGGACTTTGTTGGAAGATTTTTAGGTCACAGTTTCAGTTTCATTACTTGTAATTGGTCAGTTCATATTTTTTATTTCTTCCTGGTTCAGTGTTGGAAGGTTATACCTTTCTAAAAATGTGTCCATTTCTTCCAGGTTGTCCATTTTATTGGCATAGAGTTGCTTGTAGTAGTCTCTTAGGATGCTTTGTATTTCTGCGGAGTCTGTTGTAACTTCTTTTTCGTTTCTAATTTTATTGATTTGAATCCTCTCCCTATTTTTCTTGATGAGTCTGGCTAAAGGTTTATCAATTTTGTATATCTTCCCAAAGAACCAGCTTTTAGTTTTATTGACCTTTGCTATTGTTTTCTTTGTTTCTATTTCATTTATTTCTGATCTGATCTTTATGATTTCTTTCTTTCTACTAACTTTGGGTTTTGTTTGTTCTTCTTTCTCTTGTTCCTTTAGGTGTGAGGTTAGATTATTTATTTGAGATTTTTCTTGTTTCTTGAGGTAGGGTTGTATTGCTATAAACTTCCCTCTTAGAACTGCTTTTGCTGCATCCCATAGGTTTTGGATCATTGTGTTTTTGTTGTCATTTGTCTCTAGGTATTTTTTGATTTCTTCAGTGATATCTTGGTTATTTACTAATATATTGTTTAGCCTCCATGTGTCTGTTTTTCATGGTTTTTTTCCCCTGTAGTTTATTTCTAATCTCATACCGTTCTGGTCAGAAAAGATGCTTGATATGATTTCAATTTTCTTAAATTTACCAAGGCTTGATTTGTGACCCAAGATGTGATCTATCCTGGAGAACGTTCCATGTGCACTTGACAAGAAAGTGTAATCTGCTGTTTTCAGTTGGAATGTCCTGTAAATATCAATTAAATCTATCTGGTCTATTGTGTCATTTAAACCTTGTGTTTCCTTATTAATTTTCTGTTTGGATGATCTGTCGTTTGGTGTAAGTGACATGTTAATGTCCCCCACTATTATTGAGTTATTGTCAATTTCCTCTTTTATAGCTGTTAGCCTTTGCCTTATGTGTTGTGGTGCTCCTATGTTGGGTGCATATATATTTAGAATTGTTATATCTTCTTCTTGGATTGATCCCTTGATCATTATGTAGTGTCCTTCCTTGTCTCTTGTAACATTCTTTTTTTTTTTTTGCCTTACACGGGCCTCTCACTGTCGTGGCCTCTCCTGTTGCGGTGCACAGGCTCCGGACTTGCAGACTCAGTGGCCATGGCTCACGGGCCCAGCCGCTCTGCAGCATGTGGGATCACACCATTCTTTTATTTTAAAGTCTATTTTATCTGATATGAGTATTGCTACTCCAGCTTTCTTTTGATTTCCATTTGCATGGAATATCTTTTTCCATCCCCTCACTTTCAGTGTGTATGTGTCCCTAGGTCTGAAGAGGGTCTGTTGTAGACAGCATATATATGGGTCTTGTTTTTGTATCCATTCAGCAAGCCTGTGTCTTTTGGCTGGAGCATTTAATCCATTCATATTTAAGGTAATTATTGATATGTATGTTCCTATGACCATTTTCTTAATTGTTTTGGGTTTGTTTTTGTAGGTCCTTTTCTTCTCTTGTGTTTCCCACTTATAGAAGTTCCTTTAGCATTTGTTGTAGAGATGGTTTTGTGGTGCTGAATTCTCTTAGCTTTTGTTTGTCTGTAAAGCTTTTGATTTCTCTGTCAAATTTGAATGAGATCCTTGCCTGTAGAGCAATCTTTGTTGTAGGTTCTGCCCTTTCATCACTTTAAATATACTGTGCCACTCCCTTCTGGCTTGTAGAGTTTCTGCTGAGAAATCAGTTGTTAACCTTACGGGAGTTCCCTTTTATGTTATTTGTCATTTATCCCTGTTGCTTTTGATAATTTTTCTTTGTCTTTAATTTTTGTCAACTTGATTACTATGTGTCTTGGCATATTTCTCCTTGGGTTTATCCTGTATGGGACTCTCTGTGCTTCCTGAATTTGGGTGGCTATTTCCTTTCCCATGTTAGGGAACTTTTTGACTATTATCCCTTCAAATATT